CGCTCCATGCAACTAATCGATCAAGAGCACATGAAGCTCACGCCGACACTTTCATCTCCACGACGCCGCTGTTCGTATTATGACGTGGTGAGCACATCTGTGATTTCTCTGTCTTCTCTATACTGGCCGTTGCCATCTCCCACCTCCGGTCGTGACCCGCCCAGACTTCGCCGCCGAGAGTCCGAGGTCGCCCAGCGTTGCCATGCCTTGCACCTCAAGTAGCCGGCCTCATAAATAGCAAGCAGCATCACGCACCGCCTCCCTATCCCGCTCCAGAGCCGCTTCACTTGTTCTTTCTCGTTCTCAGCGTTGTTCACACCGCCACCGAGTTCTTCAATCTTGTCGTCCTCGTGATCTTGGCAATGTCAGCGCCGTCGCCACAAGCTCATCTTGCACGGTCTCGGATCCCACCCGCCGCTTCCTGACTGGGAAGACAACAGAGCCAAGCACTACTGAGAAGCCCGATCCTAAATGCCTGAAGCACCGTTGGCTGTCGTGGCTGTTTTCCATCACCGGTGAGACCCTCTGCATGTTCCTCTCTCTAGTTTTCTTTTACGTGTTGTCTTTGGAGCATCGTCAGTTCCAACCGTCCCATGTCTATGTGCCTACACTAGCACACAGCTTCTCATGCTAGAGCCGATGAGCATGCCGAGGAAAGTACGTCGTCGATCGTTGTTTGCTGCTGCTTCTGGATTACCACGTCACCCACACATTATGGCCGTTTTCTTATAGAAAAACAAATCCAACGATACTATAGAAATACACCACTTACAATCAACAATGGATCTCCACCGTTTCTTCATTCTAACTCCGATTTGATCCGTTCAACTTGCGTTAAGTTCGTAATTTCATAACCTACATGTTCATACTACTGTTAGATATGTTTTCAACTTTTAAAATTCGAGGTTAGATTTAATCTATTATTTTATTAAAAAAAATCTTGTTTAATTCATATCTTCTATGTTTTAGCTCCGATTTGACATATTCAAGTTGTGTTGGATTCGTAACAACATAAATTACGCACTAGTAACAATGTTTTCTATGTAAAAAGCTCTGGAATTTCACGGTTTAAAATCTAACTTGAATAATAATTATGCAACTGGGTTTTATAAATAATATATGATATGTTTAACTTTAGTTTTATAATTCAAATCTCAATTTGATTTAATTCAATTTATATAAGCTTTTATATAGATAAACACGTGAAGTTTATATTTTTATATTTTCTCTTTTGAGTAGGTCTTTCGGTAGCCGTTTCTTTCAAATCGTAGCTCCGATTAGCGTGCCTCTTACGACTGTGTGTTCGTAGCAATGCGTAGAATCGTATTTCAAACTCTTTTACTTATTTTTCTATGATTGGTGTATTGTTCTAATGTAGATGTAATTGTATGCTATGCATGTATGTGTATGGATGTTTGTGTGGTGTTCTACGTTTACGTCCAGTCAGTGAGGTATACATGGTGATCAAGAAGAAGAATAAGAAGGACGTTGAAGATTAAAGCTTATCAAAGGATCGGTGTTTTAAGGCAAATATAGCATGGGATCTTCCTTGCTGTCCTATACACCTTTAATCATTTTATTCATACTGCATGTATCTACCTTGACTGCCACTAATGATTTTCTAGTGCTTTGTTACCTTGTGCTTTGTTACCTATGGGGTATTGCATTGGGTAGCATGATCATAGTGCTCAATTAAAGACCATGATCTTGTAACTTGACTAATGGTATATGCAATAAACATTAAAAGATGCTTTTTAGCAACATGGAACAAGGGGGCTAGAGCATTAGGTTGTTTTATGGTGCTCTAGATTCCTCTCCCTAAGGACTTATCTGTAAGTGATTATCCGGGACTTATAGTACAATTACGAGGGTTATATGGCTCTGGCTTTAGTTCAGTATGAGGACCTTTTTTAGCTTGTTAGTGGTTACCTTTATTGCGTAAGAATAACTTGACGAATCAGGTATAGTGCGGCCTCTGTCCCCTTGTGTATAGGCTGCGCGTCATTGTGCCATCGGGAAGGAGGGCTCTACATCTATTTTTGCCGAGTGAATCTATTGGGCCTAACTTGTTAGACGAATCTTTGAAAGGCTTCATAGTGAACCCTACCGACCTTCCTTGAAAGTGGATCAAGAGATTAGCTACCTCGAGCAAAAGGATAAATCACGACTCACAGTGAATGTGTACAACCTCTGCATAGTGTAAAACTGGTATATCAACCATGCTCATGGTCACGAGTGGCCTTGGAACATTTACGGAATAGATGATCAATAATGGTTAATGATGAAGAACACGGATGATACCAATGATGAAGATGCACACTAATGATTACTGTTTATGCTGTTCATTATTCATGTTTACCTGATCATGTGTTTTATATGGCTTGTGATAAACTTGTTGCTACTCAATTGCTAAAATCATGACTCATTAAAAGCTAATCGCAGTTAAACCAGTGTCAGCCTTTTGAGCCTCATGAACCCCATGTTATATTTGTTGAGTACGACATGTACTTACGCTTGCTTTATTTTTTCAATTATTTGGATAAAAATCCCGGATGGGTACAATATTGATAGAGTTTGGAGGAATTAGGCTTATGATCAACCAGTCAGTTGTTCATGTGGTAGTGGAGTCTTTACCTGAAGATTAGAGTTGTCTTTCCGTTGTCTATACTCTGAGGTTGTATTCTTTATACTAATATGCTATGTAATAAGCATTGTATTATGATATTACCCTTATTTGTAGCTATATATGAGATTTGACTTCCTGTGCTCACATATGGTGTGTATCTGGTTTTGTTCTTAAAACCGGGTGCTACATACAGTACGTATATGTTTCATTTCAAATAATGCTTGTTCTCATATTTCCATAAGAGTTAAATGTATGAGCGGCCTCTAAACTTGTCGAGGAATGCCATTTAAGTCCATAAACTTTGAAAACGCATTTTAGGTCCCTAAACTTTAAAAACACACCCTTTCTCAAGAGAACTCTTTGTATAATCCTAGAAGTAAGCACAATGACTTGACGTAAAACTTCTATCTACCTTGTATTTACTTATACTTATTATATGATATATTTGTAGTCTGCTGGTCTTCCATGGGCTTTGGCTAAAGGACAGGACACATTTACTCCAATTAGTGCAGTGGTAAGCAATAGTTTTTCATGTTGTGAAATCGAATTAAGCATTGTTGAGACATTAACAGATACTTTTCTGATTTATAATATTACATACATGTTTCGTATTGAAATTAACAACAGAGTACATGGAATTTGCAATAGGTTTTCTCTATAGGCTCATTATAAATAGCATGTGCTTCTCTAGACTTATAAAAATCAATATCATGGAAAAAGGGTGTCTGACAGAGAGGAACAAACTGAAACCTCATCTCTGTTTGCACGAAAGTGGTATTTGTATTGTCCCTATGATCCATACCAATCTTATGATCTGAAATCCATAATACCATTGGGTTGTCTCTTCTATTCTCACAAAGTATAATATCTCCACCAAACAGGTTCCAAAATCTGCTGTCACTGATCCCCATTATCTGGAGTTCTGGTTAAAGGTAATTATGCATAAATGGAGCGAACATATTTTTGCAAGACCTATTTTGATTTGGGAATAAGTTTCACAAGCATATTTGGCCTTTCATTTCTCTTTTAGCATACATATTATCAATTAGATTACTTTGAAGTAAAAACCAAGTGATATGCATTTTAGATTAAAATTTGAACCTAGTTCAGTTAATTAGTTGTCAAAGCTTAGGAGGTTTTCCTTTTCACCTAGAAATAAGCTAAGGGAGTATATGGTATGGTGTTAGGTTGACAAGGAATTATATGATATGAGCTGCTGGATTTTGTACACATGGGGGATAGTTCGTTACCCACCAAGCAACAATGTCAGAAGCAAGCCCAGATTCATCATGAGCAGACAATTTTGGGATGAAAATTGCAGTTAGCGGGTCTTACTAGTGAGGCCATATTTTCTAAGAGAGTAAGCGATGTTAATGTTGGGCTTCGAGATGATCATTTCTCCCATGCCTAACAAGTAATCACTTCATTGCAAAATGTATATCGTTTTTGTTTCAAACTAAGCCAACTTCTCTAAATTTGACTACTTTGTAAAAAATGGAAAAATTATACTATTATCAAATGGTGATATATAACGGAGTCTCCACATTAATCGTCATGAGACGCGCTAAAAAAAGATAAAGTCCTAGAAATTCTTGCTTCTAGATTGGGCGTCCAAGAATTTCTTAATAAAAAAAGCAAAAAATGAAACAATGAACTCTTTGTGGTTTAATATTAATTAGTAAATGTGCTGTGTTGCAACGGAACCCCATACGTATAGGAATCGGATTTCGCATCATGCTAGATGTGAGTTGTATATGAGCTCGCGTCATAAGTCCGAGTGATATGTATTGGAATCAGACTCTGTATCCATCAACATTAGATGCAAGTTGTTCTAACTCGTATGAGTATTAGTCATAAGTTTGGATATACAAGTAAAAAGAGTGGGACAAAAGAAACTCTTCACTGTTTGGATAGTTAGGGAAAGGTCGACGAAAAAAATAATATGAAATTTGGTATAGATGTATATTCTAAAAACCTGATTAAAGTTAGAGAGAAGACTGATTTATTATTAGCAAATAAAATGGAAAAACGGTCTAGGTTCGGAATGAAGGCAGTAGGGGATTCCCCTCCTGTTTCTTTAAAAAAAAGGTTCGGAATGGAGGGGTTAACAGCTTCGAAGTTGCTGGATTGCTCTTTACGGGTTGCTAGCAGCACGTGGGATTGTATGAATGTGTGCTGTTTAATTTGCTGACTAGAGTGTGTTGTTGACATGAGCGAAGAGAAATGAGAGGGCCAGACGCAGAGAGGGTAGTAAAGTAACTCGTGCTAGCTAATAACGGCGTAAAATGCAGGTGGACGATGAACTTAGGCAGAAGGGCTCGACAAGTGATATGATATTCAAGATTCCTTTATCGTGAGCTATATCACTTCCATCATGACGTTAATGGAGGGCGACGTGATACTGACCGGTAATGAAAATTTTGTGTATCCACAGCTCGTGCTTTTTATTTGCATCGCAAAACTAATTAATACGGACTTGTTCTTGGATTATACATTCATGTGTTCCTCTGCGGCTCTGCAGGTACTCCGGCGGGTGTAGGTCCTGTCCGAGTAGGCCAGAAGATCAAAGCTGGCATTACTGGCTTCGTTGATGTGGAGTTTGATGTTCAGAGGCGCAAGCGGCTGTCTTCTACCTAATGCAATTAATATATAAGCGCGAGAGACAGAGGGTAATAATGGTATGTGACACCTTTATTTTGGAGCATGTAGTCACTTATGCTGTTGCACTGGACATGTTTTTAGACAAACGATTTTTCGATTTATGCTCTCTGCAGGTGAATATGGATGCAGATCGAGCACAGCCGTCCTCAACCAGTGCAACTTCCTGGAGCAACTGCTGGAGATCGTTCTCTTGTGCCTCCTTGTTTGTGTGAACTGGTGATAGAATAAGCCGCTGTGCCTATGCATACATGAACTTGGTTGTCCCCCATGGATGTAATCTCTCAACACTTTGTGTGCAATATCATAAGGTAAAGGTGCGCGATTACTGAGGTACAGTTCCTCTCTCCCTTTATAAGTGTCATCGTGGAAAGCGTGCTAGTCGATTTTTTTAGTTTTAGCAACATTTATATCTTTAAATAAATTTATTATAAAAAATTAATATTTTTTCATATATTCAGTCAAAGTTAAGTATGTTCGACTTCTCGGGAAGTGAAAATGACACGTAAAAAAGATGGAGGGAGTACGAGCCTGTTTGCTTTTCGGCCACAGGACGCCAAAGGAGTTGTGGCGGCGCCGAACTTGTGGTGGCCAAAAGGGACGCCACAACTGTGGCGGGATTTTAGCACTGAGAAAGCTGTGGCTGCCGCGTGCATGTAACGAACCAACAACAACAGCCTTTGAGTGTGTGGCTCGCCGCATGTTAGGTGTGACGGATGATGGCTACGAACCGACATCCCCTACGTATTATGAAATTACAAATCGTTCCTGTTTAGTACTTTGCTTGAACACATGCGTCCGAGTAGGCAGTAGCGGATTCAGGGCTCAAATGAAACCCGCGAGAAGCTCGAGGCTGCCTACGAGATAGTTTATTTGTAAGCTTCTATAGAGCACAAAATTACAAATTCCTCAGCATGCGCTAGCGACGGAGCCCATACAGCTGCCCAGATCTTGCAAGAATTCCTAGAATTCTAGCATATATTTTGGCCATGTGGCTGTCCCCAGCCCAAGCGAACGTTAAGGCTGCAGGACTGCAACAAGCAAAAGACGACCCAGACGCATCGTACTCTGGATGCACAAGGTGACGTAAGTCTAGCTCGGCCCAATAGTGGCTAGGAAGGACTGGAATGGTAAAAGCCCACGGAGGAGAAATGTCATGCAAAGGCCTGTTTTGTAGAACTTCTTCATATTCTCTGTGGAAAGGTGATTCTAAAAATATTTCCCTAGGTTAAACTTTATGCATATAGTGACTCTTTGTGTGAAGTGAATTAGGAGAAGCTACTTGTTTTAATCCAAAACCCCCAAGATCATTTTAGAGAATCACTCCACAGAATCAGTATAGAAAATCACTTCTCAATGAAGAACTATTTAGCAGAACTTTTCCTAAATTTAGCCTAGAAGCTACTCTAGGAGTTCTGGCAAAGAGGCCCTAAAATAGAGAGAGATATGGGAGGGCAACTTGTAATTAAACAAACTTTTCACGAATCCAATCCTGTCGACAGAATATCGTCGGCAGTCCTCCAAGGGGTATCCCATGAAGGTAGATTGATCGGTAGAGATTCGTGTAATCGAGAACAAGAAGGCAACAGAGACACAAGAGTTAGACAGGTTCGGGCCGTCGGCGTGACGTAATACCCTACTCATGTGGTCTGTTGGATTGTATTAGCTATCGTATGATATTGCGTGTATGTTTGGAGGGGTCCCTGCCCGCCTTATATAGTCCGGGGGTAGGGTTATAAGTCAGTTAGATCTGGGAGATAACCGGAAAGTAGTAACTGATTATAGGAATCTTAAGATCATACGTATCCTAACAGATCCCGTAGTATCTTCAGGATATCTTCCCGGTGTCTTGTGGGACGCGTCCCGCAAGGCCGTGCCCCGCAAGGCTTTGTCTTGTGGGCTGGGCCATTCCTAGGGGCGCAGCCCATGTGATCTGTTGTGGGTATCCGGGGTCATACCCCCCACAGCTAGTCCCCGAGCGCCCTGTATTCGTTGTGCAACGCTATCTTGAGCATATCCGAGCAGGTGCGAACAAAGCCAAGAAGTCAAACTCATGGTCCGACCACCGTGATGAGTTGCCGAGCAGTTGTAAACCATCGCCGAGCAGTGTGAACCGTCGCCGAGCAGTGTGAACCGTCGCCGAGCAGCGTATCCCAAGTAAGGCTTGCCCTAAGGATGTAAGGAGCTCAAGTTTAAAATCGAAAATTTCCGCGCACTGTACCAAGTCTGGCCACTTAGAGTCCGACCACGAGAAAGGGAGATAGTATTCTTCAACTTCATGAGGCGCGAAGTCTTCCAGATTAAATCAAACACACTCACCGTGAGGTGAAGTGTGCCCACTTAGTCCCCAAGTCTGACAGTAGGTGACGTAGTCACGTGGTGCCAAGGTCCAAAGTAGAAGAAAAGTAGAAAACCAGCTGAGCAGGCAGCCAGCCCCCGGGCGTAACCCCGAGATGAGAAAAGCACATTCACCGCAAGGTGAAGTGTGCCCACTTAGTCCCCGAGTCTGACAGTAGGTGACGTTGTCACGTGGTGCCAGGGTCAGAAACTACAGTCAACAGAAGAAAGTCCCTAGTGTGGTGAGGAACCAAGTCATATTGCTGACGCAGTCCCCGAGCCACAAGTGGAAATCTTGGAGAAAACAAAACGTGGAGAAAAACCGGAGTAATGGTTGTGCAGTAGTAATTACTGAGCCGTAACAGATGGCGGAGAAATCGACGAATATTCGATGAGCAGTAACAAATTGCGGCGATAAATGGGCGATACGGGCTGCAGTTGCGCGAAAGCCTAGGTAACAACCCACCACGCTGTTTCGTAGAGTTCAGAGAGGCGCAAATCATGAAGCGGTTTCCTAAAAACCTTTGAATGTGAAAGGTAGGGGGAGTGCTTTATAACTGCGCCGCCGCACCCCACGCTCTCACCTTTGCCACTTTGCCATTTCATCTTCCTCCTCAGCCCTCGCACTTCTAGATTCACACGCGCTTCCGTCACCAATCCCAAACCAGATCTGAGAGATGGCACCGAAGAAGGGAGCTGGAAACCCAAAGAAGTCAACCGCCAGAGCCAGCCGTGACAATGAGTGGGTGCCGTCGAACATGGGGGAGGCAGAGATCAGCAGGCTGGTGGAGGCAAGCGTTCTTTCTGACCGTGTCACCGCCAGATGGCGGCCAGCCAGCGGTGAGCCCTTCCCGATGCCGCATACTGATGAAGTAGTAGTTTTTGAAGATTATTTCTAGCGCGGGATAGGATTTCCCGTTCATCCTTTCTTGAGGGACCTGTTGGACTTCTGGAGAGTGAGTCTATGCAATCTCCACCCAAACACTATCTTGCACATCTTGATTTTTATCCACTTCCGTGAGGCGTTTCTTGGAGTTCTTTCCCACTTCAACCTCTTCCGTCATCTGTTCTGGCTGAAGAAGAAGGGTGGCGACAGATCCAAGGTGGTCGGCGGCGTCTATCTTCAGCTCCGCGATGGAATGGCGGGCGAGTACATCACTGTACCACTGAACACCTCACTGAAGGGGTGGAACGCTAGGTGGTTCTACATGAAGCAGAGCCATCCTGCCATCCGTTGTGACGTCGACCACGTTTCGAAGAACCAGAGGAGCTGGTCAGAGAGGCCGAGCAGTGCTGACATGGAGCAGGTGAGGGAGCTCCTCGGCCTAATAAAGTGCGTGAGGATGAACGGCGGATTGGTGGCGGCGAGCTTCATAGTGCGCCGTGTCCAGCCCTGCAAGGAGAGGGCCCACATGGGCTTTGACTTCAAGGGGGACACCGACGGCACCCGGGAGAGGACAAAAAGATCCATTCTCAGGAAAGAGCGGCGGACTTCTTAGACGTGCCGAGGGGCAATTGGCCGAGGGCAGTGGATGCCTGGCTAACAACGCAGCCTAAGGAAGGTGCCGTCAGTGCCTCATCAGAGTCTGGAGGTGCGAACGCTGGTCAGACGGAGAGTCCTCCCCCTGTGTCGGAGAAAGTCTGGGGGAAGAGGGCAGTGACAGATGAGCCAGCCCAGAAGAAGAGGAAGACGGCGGGTGTCGCTCCCCACAAGCCAGGCGGCATCTCGCTTGGCGGTGACAAGACCTGATATGACCACGTCATCAACCAACATGTTACAACCTCCAATTCAAGTAACATCAACTCAAGTATCACCTACATCGACACCAGCCCAAGCCTTTGGTGGCCCAATTACACGTAGTCGAGCAAAGAAGCTATAACAAGAGGTGAACGTGCTACTTTATGAAGTTCAATTTAATATTAATGAGAATTATATATTGCCTAAGTCGTGCACGTTGTTGTTGCTCAAGGTCACTAAAGAGAATGGCAAGAACACACAAGGTAACGAGCACAGAGAAGAACCACACTCGAGCCAGACCAGTCCTACAGAACTATTCATAACTTTTGATTTCCAGAGGCTATGAAGGTGAATAAGCACATTTTGGAAAGCTTGTCGAGTATACCTTCCAATGATACTAACGCCAACCAATTTGGACTTCTAACTAATGAAATCTGACCAGCTTAGTACATACTGGTCAGACCTCTTGAAACTGACAGAACTGTCAAGAAGAAAATATCATAACTTTTTATTCCCGAAGGCTATGGAGGTCAATGAGGACTTTTTGGAAAGCTTGTGAAATATAGTTTCTAATGTTTCAAGTCCGACCAGATCTAACCAGTTTTAGTGCAGATCCAACCAGTTTTAGTGCAGAGTGCTCAGAGGGTTAACAGTCTTCTCAGGACATGATATTGGTACAACTTCTCAGATTAAACTGTACCATTCTATAATGTTTCGTGGTGCATGATATACATGGTGTGAAACCTTATCAAGTTAGCTTTCCAACACAACCAACAACATGTCATTTGGATTTTCCAAGATGGAGTTATTGCCAAAACACTGAAGACTGCGCAGAAGACCAACAGCCACGCGGAAACTACTCAGAAACTCATTTCGTGGAAGCTTGTTCACATAGCCTACCTTT